ATTTCTCGTTCGATGCACAAGTAATTTTCAATAAAATTGGTTTTACGAAGGAAATTCTGGATTTTTCCAGACATTTCTGGATTAAAGGCTCTGTCATGGGGTGCAATCAATTCATCTTTGTCTCTAATCCCATATAAAACAAACCTATAGCCACTCCACCCGATAGAGTGGAACTCTGAATGTGGATCATATTAAATCGACCAAGATTATCCACAAAGGAGCTCAGGATGAATGTTGTCACAGTTCCACTAGCCATCGCAAGGTAAGTGTTCATAATAGCACGATGACGAGCATCCTCTGCAAAAGAAGACTTTCCACACTTCTTTCTCAAAGGAAAATAAAATTATTTGTTTATTCAAATTCTGTTGTATTAAACTCTCTAATAGAAAAAGAAGGTATTGTATTTTTTGCAAAAGTGAAGTTATTTGCCCCAAAATACAATCAAATTTCTTGATAGACATTGGCTAACTGCTAATTGAATTTCTATTTTTGGTGATAATAAGATTAATAATGCGAAAATAAAAATCTTTAAAATACGAAAATAGGATCTAAATTCCCTTAAAACAGGTAAGATTAGCGCTCCCATCTCTTGAAACAAAAACGTGAATCTAAACCTTTACTTACCAGGTTCTTGTACAGCTGCGTTGAACGAAGGGAAGAAAACCCAGAGAAGTAGCGTTCCTAAAGAAGTGCATTTCTTTTGGAATGATTGATTATTTGTACTATTCTCAGTGATTTCTGTAGTATCAAACTTGATTTCTAATTTTTAGTCGACCAGGGATTTTTTAATGTTCAATGTCCATTAACTAACTGAACTAAATTTATCTTAACGATAGCAGCAATATAAGTTTAGTGAAATGAAAAAAAGTAAATTACTGAAAGCTGAAAATGAGTCATAAAATGACTAGGACCTAATTTTAGACCAAACAGTCCATATTTTAAAAATTTTCACATGATTTAGAATTGTAAAACAAACGGATGTTCCAAAAAACTTTAATTACCAATCATCGAGAATAAATCTGAATGATGTATAGAGCCCTGTTCGTCCATTTCCATCACATTCTTTTTCTTCCCCACCATCGCTGCAGCTAAGCCAAAATAAGCGCCAAAAGCGTGAACAACTAGCGAACGGCCTCCATCGTTCACCTGCACTTTGGTAAGAAAAAATCCATGAAAAACTGGGTTTCACCACCGAAAATCAAGAAAAAAGGAACCTACATGTAAGATATTAACGACAATATGATCAACAAATACGGAGATACTCGTTTCAAAAAAAGCCAATAAGAGAAATTGAACGGGAGTCATTCGACCCAGTAATACTCCCATAGTGATTAGAACTACAGCACAAGACGCATCAGCACAAATCATTCTGAAAATTTTTTTTCAAGTTTTTAAAATCCTGTTTACGGTAGTCATATTGTGCTTACTCTGGCACTCCAAGCGTAAATGTTCCAGTTTCTTGAAATTGTTTAGAGAGAAATCCACG